TTATTTTGATATATCACAGTGAAAGATTTATCGTCCTCTTTTTTTTTTTTTTTTTTTTTTTTTTTTTAAAAAAAAAAAAAAAAAAAAAAAAAAAAGGAAATATTAGTGGTACCAGTGACAGTTATACAAAAAAAGATTTCAGTAAATTATTACACATGTGAAAATCAAATAATGGTTATCTCCTAGCTAAAAAAAAAATCCTGGTTCAAGTTTAACAGTTTGAGCTTATAGTAACTTGATTAAGAACGAATTAATAAGAGGTGGGAATGGCTCTGTATAGATTCACATTTAGTACATACATATAAAGATCTAGGTTCAATCCCTAGCACATTTTTAAAAAAGGGCCAGCACTTGGGAGGCAGAGGCAGGTGGATCTCTGTGAGCTCGAGGTCAGCCTGGTCTACATAGTGAGTTCCAGATCAACTGGGGCTACAGGAGACTCTGTCTTAAAAAAAAGACCAAAAAAAAAAAAAAAAAGTTCAGCAGACCAGAGAATTTGCTAGTCTTGCACAGGATCAGAATTTGGTTCCCAGCACTACAATGTGGCTCACAACAGCCTCTAACTTCAACCGGCCTCTACTGGTACCAGCACACATGTGAAAAGACACACATACACATAAATAAATAATAAAATCTTTTTTTAAAAAAGAGAGGCTGACCAGGTGTGGTGGCGCATGCCTTTAATCCCAGCACTCGGGAGGCAGACAGAGGCAGGTGGATCTCTGTGAGTTCAAGGCCAGCCTGGTCTACATAGTGAGTTCCAGGACAGCTGGGGCTACAGAGAGGCCCTGCTTCAAAATGACTAAAAAAAAAAAAAAAAAAAGAGGCTGGAGAGATGGCTCAGCAGGAAGAGTAAGAGCAGTTCCTATTCTTCCACAACTAGAGTTCAGTTCCCAGTACCCACATCAGGTAGTTCACAACCACCTGTAGCTTCCACTGCAGGGGATTCAATACCCTCTTCTGGTCTCTGCAGACATCTGCACTCATGTGCACACACACACACACACACACACACACACACACACACACACTCGTACGACCTTAAAAAATACAACTAATTGATATGTGATAGGTAAGCAGGTAGCCAGGTACGTGGCACAGGAATAGAATCCCAGTTACTCAGAGTTCATGTAGAAACAGGTACTGCTTGAGCCCATGTGCTAAAGATAAGCCTGAGCAACACAGCTAAACCCTGACTCTTCAGTGAAAAAAAGAAAAATATGACTTTTAGAATAGTAGCTGGGGAGGGCAGGGGCCCTGGAGAGATGGCTCAATGGTTAAGAACATTAACTGTTCTTGCAGAAGACCCTGGTTCAAATCCCAGCACCCACATGGTGGCTAACAACTGTCCATAACTCCAGTTCCAGGGGATTC